GTTCAGAAACTTTCTGGCCATAGTGCTGGGCGGCAGGCTCTCAGTATCCCTGCTTGAGCAGGGAATTTGGGCCAGATGTCCTCTGGAGGTCCCTTCCAGCCACAGCCATTCAAATGACAGGAAAGAAAAACAATTATATCTTGGCCTAATTTAACAATTCCATGTAACATCATACAAATATAGATTACACAGAGCTTTCTTAATTTAACTTACTCTTCCTTTACTTTTGTTCTTTTGATTCTAGCAGAATAAGTTGCTCTCAGGTCTATGTGAAAAGTCAGTTTACTTGGTCTCAAAATCTGTCTTGCTTGGTTTACAATATTGCTATTAGTTTCTAGTCTGCTGACTAGAGCCCATGTCTCATTTATTAGGGCTCAAACTGTCAAATGCAGTAAATGAGTTTACTTTGTCTACCCAACCCAACTGTATTGTGCACCCAAAGAAAACTACCCTGAGTTTGTTTTAGTTAAGGTTCATTGAAGTCTACTGTATGTTTCAAGTGCTCTTGGAAATTCAAAGGTGATGCAGCAGCTTTTAAAAAACAGCATTCCACTAAAGCATATAATCCCCATATTTTTTAAGTTAATACTATAACACATTTTAAGCAGTTTGGATTCCTTTTGGTAGTCTGTGTACTTTTTTAATGTGTACTTACTCTTATTGTTTTTAGATGTGGCTAAATGTATCACTTTGCTGTGTCTATTTACAGCTTAAATAAACTTTAATTCGATGCATGAACTAGAATGTTTTCTGGCAGAGTCGACTTAGATATTGGCTTTTGTAGCAGCTGCAGTTCATTGTCTTAAATTGAAGCGGGTGATATGCTTAACACTTAAGCTGTTTCATAAAATGCTGTTGATTTTGTTAAATAATGCATGCACATTTTTGTACAACTCTACAAGTGATCTGCCTTCTAATTATCAAAGATATTGTGTATTTTAATAAAATTATCATTTCTTCTTATGCAATTTTATGTAGAGTGGTATTTTAAGACGGGCTTTTTGTGTACATTATGACAGCCTTACTAATTTTGAATGGAGCTTCTTGTTGACCAAACCTGCCCCCTTCTCTCACCTTTCCCAGGGGTACCAAGCCTGTGGAGGTTTATCTAAGCTTTTCCTTCCTGCACTAGGAAGATGTGCTCATTTTTTCCCTGATGTTTGACTATCTCAGATGGTAGAAAAATGTGTTTTGAAGCTGGGGCAGTGATGGAGACCTGAATCTGAAATGAAAATGACACCACTGATGAAAAAAATCTCTGTACAGTTCCTCCCTATCCAGTAATAAGTATATTTTGGTTTTACTGCAGCATAACTGGCAAGCTTGTGGCAAGCTGGGAAACTTGGCACTGTTTCAGCAGTAGAAACTGGCTCTGCAGAATTTGTGGCATTTCTTCCTGCCCACTAGTTGCTCTAGTCCAAGCTGTGTAGTTGCCAGAGGCAACCCCAGCATCAATGTTGTGTGGTGACTGCACACAACATTGATAGCTGAAATAGAAACTGAACACATAAGGTTTTCGGATATGTCTGGTATTTCTGAGCGTGATTAGGCAGGTGTCTGTCTTTCTTTTCTAAGGCCTTTGTAAGTCAAAGTGACAGGAAAACTTGAGCAATGAATTGTCACTGCTCCATTCAAAATGAGTTGGAACAAACTGGCACTTTCACAACCTTTATTCCAGGAAGATGCTGTAATTGGTGTCTTGAATTTACACTACTAAGAGAGCTGTTGAACTCACTGTCCCCTCTGAAGTAACTCTTGACTTCCAGAGGTTATTGGATTGAGATTACAGGTTTATAAATTAGTGACCTCTTGTCATTAGACATCATGTTACATTGGTGTATAGCCTGAGGATTTTATTAGTTGAATTACCACAGCTTCTGTGTGTACAGTTAGACATAAGCCTGTGTGAGATTTAAATGCTTAAATAAAAATCTGCTCAGACCTGAGTGTCATGCAAGCAGCCAGTGAGATGCTATTTTTGAGATTATAATGCTGCCTTGGTGTAGCTGAATATTCACTGATATGAAGTCGCTGTGCATTTGTCCATTTTGGTGCATGAGCAGCGTGTTTGTATCCATCTTTGCCAGTTCTTTTCCTTGTTTGCATGCAGTCTGTGTAGTATGATCCAAACATTTCTCCTTCCTGGTTCTTCTGCCTGTGCCCCACATTTTTCCTCAAGAACTGTCGTAGTTTAGGCTTTTGCACTTAGGCTATTATGCCAGTTTGTACCTCATTTCCCCACTCCTGTAAAGGTAGTGGTGCTTATGTTTGCATAATAGTGAACTCTAGAATCTTCTTCAGGTGTTGCAGCTTCTTTTTTGAAGCTTTTGAAGAATGCTTTAGATCATGTGACTCCTCTGAAAAGTACTAGATTTTTTTTCCTGATTTACTCTCCTTCTGTCTGTTCCTATCTGTCCATACTCAGATCCATGCTGTTGGTTTGCCACTAAACTACCAAACAGCTGGGTTCTGCAGGAACAGTGAAATTCAGTCATCTCTTCCTTTTGTGCACCAATTTGTTACCACCTATTTATTAAATCTGATGGTTGCAAGACTTGAGAGGCTTTATACAGCTATTTTCTTTAAAGCTTTTAGAAAGCAGGTGAAAGGTAAAGCTGTCACAAGCATCCTCTAGACCTTGAAAAAGATTTCACTCACCTCTGAAAGAAATGTTTGATTCTTAAAAATGTCCCTGAGCTACAAGCTTTTTTTTTTTGTGAAGTATGCAGGAAATGCAAAGGAGGTCACTGCATTCAATACCTGGGAAAGAAAAGCAGATTCCTTTTCATTATCTGAGGTGTTGAAACTGACAGTTAATAGCAGAGTAATTTGAAGAATATATTGAATCCTATCTCATTATTGCACACTTTAAAAAGGCAGGCATGAGGAGACCTTTCATGTCTCAAAAGAAACAGAACATCTTTTATTTTAGTTTAAGAATCAGTTTATAAATTCACTGTTGCTTTGTCTTGAAACAAGCTGGCTTTGAATAGTATAGCTCCTTTTCTTGATGGCTGTGCTTTTCAAAATGAGCCTCTGAACAGTGTCATTTTTTTTCCTTTGTGCAGAATGTCCTTAGTAAAAGTTGTTGAGAAGATTGAGAAGCAGACCTCCTCAGATTGCCTAGAGTTGCAATTAAAAAAAAGTAACCCTCAAGTTTGAAAGCCAAATTCAAGGTGCTGTTTGCCTCTGGGCACTGCAAAAGCCGTGGTTATTAGATGACTAATAGCTTAGGTGGTTGTTAGTAAAACTCCCAGAATAACTTCCTCAAAAATGTATGTGTAGCTTGAAAAAAATACATGTTTGGTGTGTTATGAGTGTATCACCAGTCTTAGAATGAGAAGAGTATTCAGGTGCCTGGTTTTAGTTCAGTTTGTGGTATGGATGAGAGAGTTTTTTTGGATCTCCCTCTGTGGTTAAAGACAACTGGATCATGCAAGAGCCATCAAAAAGATAAGTGGCAAGAAACATAAAAGTAATTTTGTAAATCTTGGGGGCTGTGTCAAATTTGCCTGGATTGAGAGGATCACTTACTTCATCCACCATATAAAGTCAGATCAGAAGTGAAGTTTCAGACAAATAATACCAGTTCCTATTTTGTCAAAAGAACCTCACTGAATGTAAAACGTAACTCACATATATCTTCATCTGCATGTCAGTGTTCTGGTTCTCAGTGATTCTGTTTTTAGTCTTTGTATCTTGGTGTTTTGTGTTAGGACTGTTTAATGCTCTCCCAAAATCAAGTACTTGGAAAGAGTTATAGAAATAAAGGCATCAGTCAAATAGTGAGCCCTCTAGTGTAGTAACGTGTTTGATAGTGGGCAGAGCTTTTTCCTTCAGAGAAGTGCAGACCTCTATGGAATAAGGTGTTCAGACTTTTCTGAACTGACCTCCTATGTCTCATACAATTAATGGTTTTGTTGTACCTTACCACTTGTTTGTATCACTTATATTTTTCATCCAGTTTAATCTGAAGTTTGCTTTCATTGTAGCTTTTTAATGGAAAAGTTGTTGTGTTTTCAATACTGATAAAAATTTTGTAGTTATTTAATGTTTAGTTTTAAAGAACTATAAAGAAGGTTCTTAATGTTCACATGGAATATTCTTGAATAAATTTCATGTTCATATGAAACACAATTTTTCTAGAGCTCTTGCAATTTTGCTTTCAGATGACACAAACATAAGGGAGATAAACACTGCTCAGAATGCTGTGAACCTTATTTTTTGTGCTGTTAATTGTGTGGCATTGCATGAAGGTGATCTCTGCTGGAAGATGTGCTTTTGCTGCTTGATATTAGAATTATGCCTCTTGTCCAGACTTGGAAAGAATTCATGTCCTGAAGGTTTAACATAAATACAGTTTAGAGAGTACACTGCATTGAATACATAAATATAGCAACTTCAACTACAATAGCAACTATTGCTTTTCTCTGGATCATTTATAGTACATGCATAAACAGAGTATCATCTCTCTTGCTTATTTTGAGTTTAAAAGAGAAGATTATTACCTTGTTCTGTTAACTCTGTAGGAGGTCAGAAGCCAACAGAAGTTGAAATCTCAAGATCACTGACTATGTTTTAGTCTCAGTGTTTTCTTCTCTAAACAATTGAAAGAGTTCCAAAGAGTATGTTACTTCTATACCTGAAGAACAATTCAGTAAAATTTACTTTTGCATGTGACCAGTACCTTCTAGGTATTTCAAATATTAAGAATGATTTGGTAGGAATAGCATATACATATATAAACCACTTGTTGCCAGCAGCATGAGTCTGTTGTATTATTTAAGCGTTCTTGATTGCTGTAATGTATAATGTTATAACTAAAGTGATAGAGCACTCTTGCATGTAACACAGGGTATGTGCCTAGCAGGTGTATAATTTAACCTGCTTTTAGCAGTTTGTTAGCAGCAAGATGTATTTTAAGAGTTATTTGTACTGTATAAACAGATTTCTTCTCTAGAGATGCATGTATATTTTAAAAAGACAAACCTTTTTTTCAGGTCCCTTTACAGATGTAGTAACTACAAATCTTAAACTACGAAATCCATCGGATAGAAAAGTATGCTTCAAAGTGAAGACCACAGCACCTCGTCGATACTGTGTGAGGCCAAACAGTGGAATTATTGACCCAGGATCATCTGTAATTGTTTCAGGTAAAAATAAATACACGTAGTTGTAGATTAAATGTTTTTAAGGCCTTTGATGCAGTTCCCTAATGCTTGATCCTTAAGGCTGTTTGAAGTATGTCAGCTTTTTAAAACCTTTTTATTTTTAAATAAAAAAGATTCCCCTCATTAGTGTGATGGCAACTTGATGTACAGCTGCAATGATACATGAAAAAAATCCTCCATGTAGAAATACTTGCCTTTGTCACATTTATTGGTGGCTCTCTAAAAGGAGGAAAAGCAAGTTGAAAATGGTCAGCGACATTAACAGTACCTTTGCCTCAGACTACTGCATTCATGTTTGTATCCTGAAGTAGAGCATTTCTTGGCTGCTCTGATGTGCTTAAAGTGTAACATTTCATAGTTCATTGCATTTAAGAAAAAAATTAGTGTACAATTGTATCTAGTTGTTTTTCTCAAGGAAATGGGAAGGCTAGATACTAGTCTACAGATTTGGTAAATTATTTTTGTAGGTCATTCTTTTGACCATTTTATGGTAGAATCTCTGAATTCAGGTTGTAGATATCACAGGCAATACAGATGGGAACTCCTAGATCTCCTAGGTCTAGAAAATGGATTGTTTTGCAACCCTTGGAGACCTCTGTAGCAAAGCAAAAGGATGAAATAAGGGAGCAGTCCTCAGAGCTTTTCAGATCCTCATTCTTACACCCTTTGGGAAATTTAAAAGAAGCTGGAGAACTATCTTTGGGTGATATGTTCAAATGATAGGAAGAAGAACACAAGAAAAGTTTATGATTGATTAAAACCTTAGAGTAACTTTCCTTGTAGGAATTTACTGATCTAATATGATCTGTAGAATGGGGCCCTTTAAAACTTCATTATTGCTTACCATGGGCAGTCCAGCATCTGGACTTGTGGTACTTATTCACTGACTTGTGGATGAAAGATTATTTTACTGAGAATTGATTTAAGATTCAAATAGTCAAAAACTTCTTTATTTCCATCTTCAGCTACAACTTACAGCCATTTTGCCTTAGCTATGTGTTTGACCTAGTATCTGGGATTTTTCTGTTGGATAGTTCAATATCACAAGCAAGATCTTGCTGGCATTTCTCTTCAGGGAATTGAATCAATTGAGGGATTACATCCTATGTGTTTTCATAGTTATAAATCATCTTTTTAAAGCATTACATATTTTAGTTTCTCAAGTGAGTCAGTACTGGAGCTGTAAACAGTATTGTGTCTTCAGGATCTCCAATAAAGGGAAATATGTCACACTGCTTGAGTCTTCAGGTGGCATGGCAGGAATTCTTTGATGTGCCTATTTCTGTATGACTGGATTCTCATGCAGTTATTCAGCTACAGTGACCTCAAGATGTTTTCAAGTGCCATTGTTTAGTTACAGTGATTCCACAGTGCTTTTCAGAACTAAGTTCTCTTCCCCACAGTATCAGCTTCATAATTTTGTTTTTAGGCGTATAATTTTTTTGGGGTCATTTGCTAAGATAAGTGCACAGATTATTTTTCTACTGACCCACTTTACCTCATCAGTCTCTCAGCTGAATTTTTTCAGTGCTGAGTCATCTTTTATATAATTAAAAATAGATTTCTCATATTGTTGTGCAGAGAGAAATAACTATAGGATACTGTGGGCTGAAGCTCTTATGTTCAAAACTGAATGTTGTGGTAGTGTTAGCTGTCTTGAGCCTGTTTAATGCATTGTACTGATTCAGAGCCAAGCCAGTTCTTAAATTCGTTGTTGGAAATGTGATTTGACAGTCATTTTAAGGAAGCTCACTGGCATTTTTTAATAATTTCTTACTTTTCAACTGTGAATCACTAAATAACCTTCTTCAACCATGTTTTTTAATTTTTTTTTCCAAAAATACAAATTCCGCAAGAGCTGTTTTTCTCTACATTGATACCCTGAATTTACTATTTATTATCCTGTCATGTATTGTTTGCTGCTAACTTGTTAACAGCAATTGCTTGTTGTTGGGGTTTTTTTCACAATATACCATGTTACGCTTTCTTCACAGCTTATTAGTGTTACTTCTTAATATTTTTCCCTCTGCTTTTACATTTTCTATCAGTATCTCTGCCATAGATTTCTCATTGCTATAAAATCAGTACAAATAGATAACTGTTAGAGGACTCCATGTATTTTTTCTTATATTTTTCTGAAACTGCCTCTGTTTTTGTATAAAGATATACTGAACTGAAATTCCCATTCTGTGGAAGACAGGTGTATGTATACTGCAAAATAATTTAGCTCTTCAGTTCACCGAGTCCTCATCCTCTGGTAGATCAAGTTGCAAGTCTACTCCCAGATACACATATTTAGATGTAATTTTTTGGTGTCTTTTATAGGATGTTTGCATTTGTATATGAAATATCTTTTCCTATAGTAAATATAGAAATAATCGTGTCAGCCATACCAGATGATGACCTCTCAGTCCCTTTTTTTGCAGTGTATGCACTGCCTTTGCGTTTTAAATTTCAATGTCTGTTCAATGAGGACTAAATCTAAAGGGATTGCTGTATGTACATGCTTGCTGTAGTGATTAGCTGAAGAATCACAGTTTTATTTTTTCCTTTGGAACAGTAATGCTGCAGCCTTTTGACTATGACCCAAATGAGAAGAGTAAACACAAGTTTATGGTACAAACAACCTATGCACCACCAAATATTACAGATATGGAGGCAGTGGTAAGTAAAATTGGAGTAAAATGACTGATGTATTTTTTTCCTTAAAAAATTTGGCTTAACTATAAATGATTCACATTTTTGCATTTCCTTTTTGAAGAAGAATTGGGTTATCTCTGAACAAGCGTGATGTGAAATGTGATTCAGATTTTTTAATATGAAATACAAGGTCAATTCTAAGAATTTGCCTTTAGTGATTAACATAGAGGTTACTGAATGGAAATAGGAGTGAGTCTAAGGTAAGGTCAGTTGAGTGTTAAAATATGGGCATATTATACCTTTATATGCAGCTAATTTAAAAGGGATAAACAGATTGAATTTGAAGGAATCAAGAGTATACTCAAATAACAAGCCTGAAGCTGTATGTAAACGGGTTCATTTGGTACGAAAAGTGTTTAAGTGAAATGTTGAATGGGATTATAATGAATTAAAACATTTACAAGACTAAGATGTGTCTCCCTGCAAGCTACCAAGTGCTGGGTAAACACAGCACAAATGATAGATTTATTTTCTGTTTTAATAGAACATGTTGTAGCTTTGTTTCTTAGGCTGGGTTGGTCTGATGGAAGATCCAAAAAGAAGATATGTAGGTTTGTGCTTGTTAGTTCAGAAGTAAGGTGCCTGTTTCTGATTTTACTGGCTGGCAGCAATGGGAATGAAGCCCTCAGTTGTCAGAATGTGTCTTTTAGAGTTTATGTGGACTCACATAAGTATGTCCTAAGGTGGAGGTCCACATTGCACATGCTTCTAACTCTATGAGCTATTTTAAGTAATGCCTGGGTTCACATTTGATGTTCACTCAAGGCAGAGAAGGAGAGGGGAAGCAAAGGATAAAAATGAGATTTTATAAATTGCTGAAATCCAAGAGACCTTTTGGGCTCTGTCCCTTATATGAAGGGAAAGAGTACTGTGGCATCACTCTTCACTGGAAGCAGTGGAAAACCTTCTAGATTTTGTGAAGCTTTGGAGGCATGAATGTTAACATCTGTCTGCCTTTTTGAACTGGTTTGTTTTTATTCATATGCTCTAGTAGTTCATGGTTATGTTTGGTAAATTAAGCATGTCTGTTTGTTGAGGATATAAAAACCATCTTCAGAAATACCTTTCAAATAACTGCTTTCTTAGTGAGTTCAGGTATACAGTATTGAGAAACAGACCTTGCAGAAAATTGCAAATTGTAGTTAAAAGTTACTATATAACTAATACTACTGGGAAAAAATAGGAAGCATGTTACCAAAAACTAGATATTTCAATCTGTAACACCTATGTTACCTATGAGGTAACAGGAGGACCTCTTAGAAAAATGCTGCAGACTTCAGACCTTTCTCTAAGCCCAAGAATTTAAGGCAACTACATGAAGTGCATGCTTTGAAAGTTAATTGTCAGTTGAGTAGAGAGATTCCGGCATAGTTGAGTTATTTAAATATACTAAGAACCATTAAAATGTAAATGTTTTTTATAAACAGCTTTGAAAAATTCTCCCAGCCCAAATTGTCACATGATATGCAATAAAAGGAGAAAGTGGGTAAAAGTCTAAAATTTGAAGAATTAAAGATATTTACTCTAGAACACATGTAGTCACTAAAAGGTGTCTTTCAATCTTTTGTTTAAAATCAGTGCTTCCAAGATGGGATACAAGAAGTACATTTACTGAGGCATAATAGGGCTAGAACTTTCTTCTCAAACTGACTGAGATGCTACTTGTTTCTCGTTGTGTGTTAAGAAACCACCACAATTTCTCCTCCCTGTTTCGTACAAACCTCTAATGGATCCATCCTTGCATTCAGTTTACTCTTTTTCGTTTCCAGACTTGAATAACCATCTCTAGCTTTTGTTACCTCACAGCAGTGAGTGTGAACAAAAAGCATTGTTCATGAGCAAGTCTGAAAATTGCAGGGAGGGTAAGCATGGTATTCAGCTGTATAGGAGGTCAGTGCTAAGAGCAAGCTCATGAACTGTTGAGATGTTTGCATAAGTCCAGCATGTTAAATAACTGTATTAATTGTTTTATTAGTGGAAAGAAGCGAAGCCTGATGAGTTAATGGACTCCAAATTGAGATGTGTGTTCGAAATGCCCAACGAAAATGATAAACTGGTAAGTAAGGAATAAGAAACTGTCATACACTGACTGGTAAGTCTCACAGAAATGTCAAGGGTTTTTTTAACTTACTTGATTTAATGAATCAGTGGAATTTGTACTGAATTAGACAGGAGGGGTGTTCACTATATATCTTATTAAGGATTCACAGAATCATGGAACAGCCCAAGTTTAAAGGGACCTTGAAATAACATCTGGTCCAAGATCTTGTCGAAAGGGAGCACTCTTTCAACCACATCTTAAAAAACTCCAGCAATGGAGAGCAGTGCCAAAAAACTGTGTTTTTGTTATTTCTATACTTTATAGTTTTCAGATGCAATCTCAGTTTAATCTTGGGGGAGGAGAATGTAGGGATTGCTTTGTGGTCTGTTTTTTGGGGTTCATTTATTGTTTTTCTTTTTGGTAAAGGATAATTTATGAGATGAAGGTGTAAGCTTCCTAAGTGTGTGTTAAACAGTAAAAACTGAAAGATTGAGCATTTATTATTAAGGCATTTAGTTCTCTACTTTCTAGCTTTAATTTTATAAAGTGTGTAATGTAGTGAGAGAAATGTAATGTATTATACAAAACTACCTCCTTTTGTACTTCCTCCTAAGAAACTCCCTAGGGACAGAGGAGCTTACTCTTTAATTAACAAGTCAGCTCTTTACAGCCACTCCTAAGGGGCTTTAGGTCCTTCTAGGGCCAAATCTTTAAGGCCATTTTTCTTAGAGTGCAAGAGTTCTCCATACCCATGTGTAAGAAAGCAAGGAAGGCAGGATAGAAAATGGCATGGTTGAGTAAGAATCTGCTCCTTGCATTGAGGAGTGAGAAGGCAGTGCACAGCCAGTGGCTGTGCTGGGACATGTGATTTAGGAAGTACAGGGGTGTGGTTTGGGTATGTGTATGAGTGGGATCAGAAAACTGAGGCTCAGATGAAATGGGGTGTGGCAAGGGATGTGAAGGGTAACAAGAAGGGACTTTATAAATATGGAGTGTATTAGAAAAGAAAGGACAAGGAAAGTGAACACCCCTGATAAACAAGAAAGGAGATCTGGTGACGACAAATATGGAGAAGGCTGAGGTATTCACTGACTTCTTTGCCTCAGTCTCCACTGCCAGTCAGGCTTGCCAGGTCTTGGGGGTTCTCACAGTTGAAAAGCTGGACATAAATCTACAGTGTGTGCTCACAGCCCAGAAAGCCAATTGCATCTGGGACTGGACCACAAGAAATGTGGCAAACAGGTCAAGGGAAGAGATTCTCCCTCCCCCTACTCTGTCCTTGTGAGACCCCATCTGAAGCCCTGAGTCTAGCTCTGGGTTCCCCAACATAAGAAGCTCCTCTGGAATGAATCCAGAGGAAGGCCGTGAAGATGCTCAGGGGGCTGGAGCACCTCTCCTATAAAGACAGGCAGAGAGAACTGGGGTTGTTCAGCCTGGAGAAGGCTCCATGGACCCCTCATTGCAACAACTTTTAAAACAGGCGGATACTGATAGCACAAGGGGGAATGATTTTCAACTAAAAGAGGAAAGATTTGGATTAGATGTTTGGAGGAAATTCTTCTCTTACTCAGATAAATTGTGGCTATCCCATCCCTGAAGGTGTTCAAGGCTGTGTTGGATCAAGCTTTGAGCAATTTGATCTGGTGAAAATTGTCCCTGCCTGTAGTGGCAAGGGGAAGGGTTGGAACTATATCTTCTTTGAGGTTCCTTCCCACCCAGACTATTCTATGATTGTGTGATTTTGAGCAGAGCTGTGGGAATTAGATTGTTAATTTTTTTTTTCACAGCTTTTTGTGACTCTTCAAATAGTAATGTGTATTTCAGATGCTGTCAGACTTAATTTTCATATTTGTGCAGGACTTTATTTTCCTTCACTGAAAGGTATTATAAGCAAAACATTTGTGTCATGCATACTTCATAGGAGTTTGTGACATGACCTGTTCTGATTTTACTTTGTTTTGTTTCTTACTCTTGCAAGATTACTTTCTTGCTTTTATTCCCCCCCCCGCTCCCCCTGAGTTCAAATGCTCTTTGGTGTATTTTATGTCCTCTTTTGGATGCCTCCTGGGTCTGCGTTAAACAGCGAAAGCATTAACTTGTGTCTCAGTAGAGTGTAGTACCAGGTAAACAGTGCAATCTTTTGCGTTTTTAATACTTGAGCTAATCAGAATTGAACTGTCAGTGTGTCTGTTCAGCTTACTCTAAATATAAACCTCATTGAACTATATTAGTAGCTTCATTGTTTCATTTTTAAGCTGTGGATGATTTTTATCTATGTAAGTAAGTTCTCAAATTATTCTTGATGTTTGTAGAATGATATAGATGCAAGCAAAGCTGCCCCAGTCCTGAACACATCTAAGCAGGATGGACCGATGCCAAAACCACATAGTGTTTCACTTAATGATACTGAAACAAGGAAGCTGGTGGAGGAGTGCAAAAGACTTCAGGCAGAGATTATGAAGCTGACAGACGAAAATCGGCACCTGAGAGTAAGTTCTGCGTCCGTGTTCATACTTAAGTGGCTTCACCCTTCTTGATTGAAAGGTTTGGTTTGTAATTAGGTGAAAAGATGTATACTCCAGCAAGTAGATAAAGCTGTTAGAATGTTGAGATTGATTCATAACATGACTTTACCATCTTGTATATAATGTATATTTTGAACTTGTCAGTGATTGAGACTTTATGATTGTCATGGATGAGACATTGAAACTGCATAATTTTCTTCTTAAATGAAATGGTCCTGTTTGTACTGATCTTAGTTACTTTAAGTCTAAGCTGAAGCTACTGAATTAGTAGCTTTGTAAAAATGCTTTATTTTTCATTAATAATGAGTGAGATCTAGAGCAGTAACATTTTGTATTACAAACAGCTAGTGAACAAGAGCAATGTTTGGCCAGAGGAGGTAAGCAAACACTACTTTATTGTATCTTTATATAAAAGTGTCATTTCAGTGACAGTTAAGGAGTCAATACATGTCTTTGTGTCTTTTCTATATGTTTGCTTTTGTAACAGTTCTGGCAATTTCATTGGCCATGGTAGCCTTTTGAAGAACTATGAAATCATATGATATCTCCACACCTGTTATTCTGATGACATGGACACTAAACAAAGCAGATGTTTCTCCTTAACAATAAGGAATTACTGCTATTTAATTTTGACACATATTGAGTAACAGTAAAATGCTTCATTTGGCCTAGCCAGATTTTTTGGTATATTTTTAAGCAGAGGGACTAGTAAATTATGGCCCTTATTTAAAATATAGTTTTCTATCTTCATGTTTTGGATTTTGATGTGGTGTAATGTTGTAGGTGTTGAGGGGTTTTTTTTAAACTTCATTTAAATATTCACCAGTAAATATGACCTTTTAAGTTCAGTTTTTACTATTCTAGTGATGTATTTATGTTTTTTTCCCACTTGTGTTTTTTCTTCCCCTCAGGATGAAGGCTTGAGGCTCAGAAAGGTAGCGCATTCGGATAAATCTGGATCACCCGCAGCTTTGGCCCTCAGAGATAATGGCTCTAATTCTCTTCCTTCACTTCTTGTTGTAATTGCAGCCATTTTCATTGGATTCTTTCTAGGGAAGTTCATCTTGTAGAAAGAATGAGTGAGAGAAGCATGCAAAACTGCAGCTTCCTTTTTTTTTTTTTTTGTTTGTTTGTTTGTTTTTTTTTGTTAGCCAGAAAAAAGGTTTGTTTACCTACCACATCATGGGTAGTATGGCCCAAGTGGCCGTTCTTGTGTACAGCATCATAACAGGCTTTGCCTTTAATGATCTCGCACGGTTAGAAAACACAATCTGAAAAGACAAACTGTTCAGCTGCTGGACAAAACTGTACATTCAGTCATCAATAGCAGGTATCAGTTGCACAGTCAGTCCTTTATGAAAATTCATAAATAAAGAATTGTTCTTTCTTTCTGTGGTTTTAATAAGAATTCAAAAATTGTTCAGAGTCTTGTAAATGTTATTTTAATAATCCTTTAAAATTTTATCTGTTGCTGTTACCTCTTGACAAATGATTTATTAGATTGCTAATCCCACTCATTCAGGAATATGACAAGAGGTATTCTGGGGGAAATGGTGCCTCTTACTGTGTAAATTTTCTCCTTACCTTACTTTGCTAATATCATGGCAGAATTTCTTTCTTATTCCTTGTGAGGCATTGTTGAGAGTTCTTCATCCTTAACAGTCCTGTCCCATAATATTTAACATGACAAAAGAAATAAAATTGTTAACAGATTTTTCTGCTGGGTAGCCTGTTTGTGTGTGTCGTGCTTTTAGAGGGGATTCTTAACACGTTCATTGTTCATGGTAATTTGCTACTCGTAACAAATGGCTATTTTGAAGTTTATTTGCTTAAGTCTCTGGCTTTGACTGTTGTAATTGAAGCTTGGAAAAGAAAAAAAAGAAAGGTTTCCATTCCATTTTTCTTGTTTTAAATGAACTGTTTTCTGGCTGCTTTCTGCTACAAAGAGGATGGTTATCAAACTTGTTTTGGGACAGAATAATATGGATATTCAGCAGGTGCAAATGCCAGACATGAATGTTTTCAATATATTAACAATTTGCTTGGATTGTGCAGGAGTGTAATAATCAACCTTCTGTTACATCTATGGATCTTCTGGGTGTAGTCCAGGAGTCAACATTTTTCTTTGATTTCTTAAGGGTACTTAATTCACATATATTAACTTACTCAGTTTATAATTCTGTCATAGCAGATACTAAAAAATGCAAGTTCATTCAGACACCCATAGTGAATTCCATGATGCAGAAGAGTTGATATTTGCTGAGTTGCTCACCTTTGGCTCAGTTGATCACCTTTGGGAAATAAAAATAATTTTATGCAACTCTTGGCAGATCTACCTGTTTTAACCATGTATAGCTAAGTTTTAAAAAATGCATTTTTGGGGTCTGAAATGCTTCCCTGCACTTAATCTTACGTCTTGCCTCATCTCTGAATATGTCATAAAAACAAACAGTAGTATTGAAACAAAATATTATCTGTACTACTGAGTAAGCATAATCCAATACAGGGAATTACTTGTAAACTTGAAAATTTGTGAAAGAGGTATACTCCTGTAAGCAAAATTGTGTATGCTCTTGGACAGCTTGACTTGATGTGGTGCAGCTAAGTGTGTTAGACCTTGGTATATGCACATGTTATGTAGCTGAGAAAAATGTTCTGGGAAGGATGTATGTTGTCTTGGTTGCCTTTGATTTCTACTGCCTTTTTTTTTTTTTTTTTTTTTTTTTTTTTTTTTTTTTTTTTTTTTTTTTTACATCATTTTTTTTCATAGCTCTCTGTGATAAACTTTTTTTATAAAATCTTGCACATGTACAAGGAAGATGCTGGAGAAAATGCAAATACTGCTTATCTTTTCACTTAAGCATGCAAGCACTGATGTTTCCAATTACTTATTCCAGTGTCTGCATTCAAGTCTCCTTCCATCCCAGTGACTGGAAAAAACTATGTTCCGGTTTTGATTATTTTGGTTCCGCTGGTTCAGAATGGTATATTTCTTCTGATTTTTTTCTCTAACAGAACATTTCCACATCAAACTTTCATAGCCTGTTCCAAACTGATTATATGGAAAATAACGAAAGCAATATTTTGCAGGATGTAGTTTGCTTCAGATAGAGCAGTCATTCCTGCGTTGAAGGGAGAAAAACCACACAAAACCCTCTGGAAGATCTTGAAATGTTTACAGCATGGTGTGTGGAGGTTTTCAAAGGTGCTAGCACTTAGAGGACTTTAAACCAGAAAAAATGTCATTGCTCAATGCAGCTGACTGAGGTTTTGATATCTGGCAGCAGAAAAATGGTGAAAGTAATGATAAATTCAGAATGAAATAACATTTTTTCCTAAATAAGGAAAAAGTTAATGGTAAAACTTAAGTTGTGGTTTAAGTGATGTTTTCAAGTGTACAGCACTCTTGTAACCAGAGCTCAGTAATGCTCTAAGGAGACTGTCTTGGTTTCCCGTAATCCCTTCATAGCTGTATATAAAATGTAATGCTAAAACTATTTTGCTCTCAGGAGTCACTTTGGATGAGATCAGCTGTATTCAGTGAATTATGTAATATGGATTAAATTGTTTGTTCCTGAAATGGTTAGAACTTCTTGCTTTGTCTGCCTGCTTACTCGTGTATGTAAGTGCAGGGAAATACAGTCTCTCCACCTGCTCCTGGTGAGATGAGCAGACATTGATGCCCGTAAAGTCGTGTCAGGGTAAATGCATAACTTCAGTTAAATACATGTTGCAGGTTGCTCTTCTGATTTCTCAAAAGGGCAAGATGATACAAGTATACAGTATCAAAGTAGTTGTTTAAAATTTTTTATTAATATAAGCACTTTAAAAGAGTAGTATGGTTCAGGGGGAAAAAAGTAAACATAGCTAACTAGAAGATACAGCTTCTGTAGTAATTCTGGGCACCAAGTTTAACCTACTTAAAAATATATATATATAAAGTTCATTTAAGAAAAAGTTATTTGTATCAATGCACAAGTTATTTGTATATTTCTACTCATTCTCTAAAAGTGTTGACAGACACTATTGCCCAGGCTTGCATGTTTCTGCTGCTATGTTTGAAGCCAACTTACTTAAAAGAAGCAACCAAACATTAGCTTGGAACTTCATTATCCTCCTGGGAGGAGGGAGGGTGGAGGGAATAGTTGAAAGGTGACATTTTGCCAAAGGGGAAAAGACAAAGTCAATAAGCAAATCTTATCTTTCAGGCCTTCTTCAAAGTTATTAAAGGTTGAAGTGTTAATAAACTATTAAAAATGTAGCGGTGTCCTTTTTATTTTGGAACTTCTCCCTGACTCCATTCTGTGGACTGCTGCTAGTGAAGAGCTGTATCTGGTCCCATGGGCAGTGTTGCTGCCCTGCTCTAGGTTCTGCCAGTAAATGGCAAGAGGCTGTCTTGCATGAAGTGTCCGTGTTGGGGTGAAGAACAGGTGCCTCGATCCAGGCAGCTTTGGGGATGCTGATGGATTTGTCAGATTTTTAAGAATCATCTTGACAAATTTTCCTTTGGGGAGTCCCCTGGTTTTTATGTGTGAATTGACTTGCTGGAGCAAACACTTGTTTCAGTCTGTAGTAAAAGATGAAATGAGAGCTATGGAGTAACAGAGCAATCCTGATAAATATTGGCTATAATACTAAAATGCCCTCCTGTCCAAGTTTGCAGGCGGGATTGCAATTCCGTAACTTGTTTTTTTAGATGCATTGCTGTGAAGGTAATAGTTCACTGCTTTGCCTGCTACTCTGGTTCCTGTGGAATGGCTTTGCAAGGGGTGTCCTGAAAGCGCATCTGTGTGTAGCACTTGCCACTGCTGCTAGTGAGCCTGTCTTTGCTGATCCTGAGCTTCTGTGGTAGCTTTAGAGTGGTGGCGCATTGGAATGTTGGACGAGAGGGGGAGCTAAATGCGGGAGTCAGTTTTCACAAGGGTTTGGGCTCCTTCCTGTGGGAAGTACTGAAATTAATGATGATGAAACGAAGTAGGTTATTGTCCAAATGTGTTTCTCAGGGACACTCAAATAATGTAACCAGGTGTCTGATTGAAGTTGATCTGTTGTGTTTTTCTGTTTCAATGCATGTTAGGTATGTTGAGGAATTGCTGATTCTGACAGGGCTGCATAAGCAGAGGTAGTGCTGGTGTTGTCACCTCTCATTTATTTGCCCTGTATGTGACAAATGATCACGTAGAACACAGGTCTTGTGCAAAGACAAAACAGTTGATTTTTATCTTTTATCTGACATTGTCATTAGTGGTAAGGTCAGTGCCTGTGCCTCATTTGCTGGAGAAGGGTTTATGTGTTTGTGTAGGGAATTAGATCTGGAAACTGCTTTGGATGAAATTACTGTTTCATCCACTACAAATTATGTTTTAACTGAATCCTGGTATAAGCATCTCCACCACAATGCAATGCCACTTTATTTAAAACTTGGTACCATTTTATGTAACGTTGGTAACTCTGCTACCAGGGTATTGAATCCCTGTTTGTACTGCAGCTACTCTCTTGCTGGCAGTGGTGGAGGGCTGATGTCCTCCCTCTTCCTTAGAAAAGACTTAGAAGGTTGGTTGTGGTAACTAGGCAGAGAGTAGTGAGAGCCTAATTACAGCAAAGCAGTCTGAGCTCAAGCACTTGAAATAAGTGAAACAGTAATTGAAGAGTGGCTGAAATAGTTATTGTTACTTTTTAAATTGGTTAATAAAAAAAAAAAGCATTGCAAGCTGTTTTGTATAGTTGTGATTTTTTTTTTTTTTTTTTTTTTTTTTTTTTTTTTTTTTTTTTTTTTTTTTTTTTTTTTTTTTTTTTTGACTGCTGATGTTTAAGTTCTGCAAGGGAAGAAACCCCAACAATCAACTAACCAACAAATTGCCATAGTCCAGGAGTAATTATTTCGGGATATTATGGAAAGATTTTACTAATACTGGTGCAGGCTTACATGCAAAGATGAATTTAGAGAGTCTCCTATTGGGGACCAGTATCTAGGCTTTTCTCACGGTGGGTAGTAGTTAAATAGCAGTCTTTGTGAGTGTCTTGGTCTGCTTTGTCAAGGATGGGTTATCCTGGCTTTTGAGGTAGGGAAACTCAGGCATGAATGTTGAGGCAAATGACTAGGTAGTTTAAGCACAGTCCTTATTCTCTAGCATAGATTGTCCTGTTTCTTATCAAGTATTCCTTGAGCCATGTCCAAGTCTTTTTTTTTTTTTTTTTTTTTTTTTTTTTTTTTTTTTTTTTTTTTTTTTTTTTTTTTTTTTTTTTTTTTTTTTTTTTTTTTGCTGCTTTGTGTTGCTTAGACATCTGTAATAGTCTTTTGAAGCAGCTTCCTGAAGCTGTTGCTGTGTCTGTTCCTGAAGNTTTTTTTTGTTGGCTTTCAAAAATGCTGCTTTGTGTTGCTTAGACATCTGTAATAGTCTTTTGAAGCAGCTTCCTGAAGCTGTTGCTGTGTCTGTTCCTGAAGACTAGTGTTGAACAAACAGAAAATGTAACTGATGTAACTGTTAGGTGTTTAGAAATAGAATGTGCTCACTGGGATTATAATGCCTGACCTCAGTCAAAGATAGTTGAGGGGGAAAAAAGGAAAAAATATGCTAAGCATTTGGGTGTGTTGAGTTTGTAGTCTTGAAACATAAAAGTCAGTCTGTGTTGCAAAAAACTTCTCTGGAGCCGGTGCTGTTTGCACTTAACAAGTAAAAGAAAGCAAACTATCCTAAATGTGTACAGCTGCCCTGTTAATGGGGGTATATATTGTTGCATTGGGTTTCCGTGGCAAAGCTTTGGTAGTGGGGGGCTGCAGGTGTGGCTTCCGTGAGAAGCTGCGGGAAACTTCTCTGGTGGCCTACAGAGTCAATGCCAGCTGGCTGCAAGATGGACCTAACACTGCTGAGTCTATTAGTGATGGTGGTAGTGACTCTGGGGTAACATGGCTATGAAGGGAAAAAAAGTACTGCACAAGAGCAGATTGCAGCCAGAGTGGAGAATATGTGAGAGAAAGAGCCCTGCAGACACCAGGTCAGTGAAGAAGAGGGAGGAGCTGCTCCAGGTACCAGTCCTGAGACTCCCCTGGAGCCTGTGGTGCAGCCCACAGTGAAGCAGCTGTGCCCCTGTAGCCCATGGAGGTTCACAGGGATGCAGAAATCCACCTGCAGCCCATGGATGACCCCATGCTGGAGGAGGTGGATGCTTGAAGAGGCTGTGACCCGTGTGGGAAACCTGCAGCAGAGCAGGCTCCTGGCAGGACCTATGGACCCATGGAGAGAGGAGCCAATGCTGAAGGATTTCTGGCAGCACTTGTGACCATTCTGGAGCAGTCTGCTCCTGGAGGACTACACTCTGTGGGAGCATGTTGGAGCAGTTTGTGAGGAACAGCAGCCCATGGGAAGGACTCATGTTTAGAGGAGTTTGTGAATGACTCATGGGAGGGACCCCATGGAGGAACAGGGGAAGAGTGCGTGAGTCCTTCCTTGAAGAAGTGGCAGACAGAGTGTGTGATGAACTGATCACAACTTCCATTCCCTATCCCCCTTCACTGTTTGGATGAGAAGAAATCAGGAATAAAGACTGAGAAGAAAAGAGGAGAGGAGGGAAGGTGTTCTAAAATTTGGTTTTCTTTTTCATTTTCCTACGCTGATGTGGTTTGCAATAAAGCAATTTGCCCAAATAGTCTGTGTTTTGCCCATGATGGTAATTGGTGAGTGACCTCTACCTTCTTTATCTTAACCCATGAACCTTTCATTGTATTTTCTCTCTGAGGGGACTGATAGTGCAGCTTTGATCGGCATCTGACATCCAGCCATGGTCAGCTCACCACAATTGCTCTTCCCATGGAAGTGGAGAAGTATTTTTCCTTTGCTGCTTTGGTAGCCCAAATACAGATAATACAGACAGCTACTTCAGATACTTCAGCACTTCTTTTTTTAAAACCTAAACATGTTTGACTCTTGCAAGCAGAGATGCTCCAGAATTCATCTGACTCAGAAGTTAAGCCCGTTGTTGTGTTTTCACTTGAAATTAGTAAATGTTGCTACTACTGTTTTTCAGACTGCAGTAGACTTCTGCACTAGTATGAAGGTTGGTCTGAAAAATATTAGCAATGAGAACACAGTAATTATCTCTGTTTCTTGATGGTTGAGAGACATTATTTTAAATCCTTGTGTAGTTTATGAAACTATGTTGTGGAAAGGCTTAGGAAGAAAGTCTACAGAAAACAAAACCTGAACCTTGGGTACAGCCCACTGGAACTGCAATCAGAAGTACTAAGAGTGCAGCTTTGATAATGAAGTGAGTGGTTCTTAGAAGGAGAAGAAGCTTATGTAGTGCCTACTTTTTACTGCTTGCCTTAATCTCCTCTGGTTAGTTTAAAATGTTGAAGTGATAAATATGAAATATGTGTCCCACAGCCTGGGAATGGTTGGTGTCAAGTGAAGAAAGTGAGAATATGGTAGGAAGACATGGCCATGACACATGTGAGGTGCACTGCTTCAGAAGTGGCTTTGTGATGGCTTTGTAGTCCCAGGATGCCTGGACTGTTAGAAAGGTCTCTATGTGCTGCCTTCTCTCCAGACATATGCTGGAAACTGCTATGCCTTCTCCAGG